AAAAACCCCTTCAAACCTACTTCTATCGGTTAGTAATAACAATCATTTGCTAAGAATAAGGTTTTTTTTTTTTTTAAGAGTACTAACAACACAATTTTTTAACTTTTTATTATTTGATATAACAAATTGAGAACTAGAAACCATGTTTGTAACTCATTAAGAAATGGGATTCACAAGATTGTGATTTATAATAATTTTCAACGAGTGTGTTTGAGAATATGTTAATTTTTCTATACTTTTTGGTTTAACCTTGTTAAATATGTGAATTATTGAATGTGAACCTATTTCTTACAGCTAGAAAGATGATTAAAACGCAGAAGACGCAAGTGATTATAGGGATGCACACATGGGCAGAAGCAGCTTCAGTGGCTGAATTAGGACGCAAAACTCGAGTTCCTGTCATATCCTTCGCAGAACCTGCCATTACCCCACCATTGATGCCAATTCACTGGCCTTTTTTGGCAAGAATGGCCTACAATGGTACTGCATATGCACAATGTGTTGCAGATATGGTGCATGCTTATAGTTGGCAGAGAGTAGTAGTCATCTATGAAGGTGATGCCAATGGTGGAGATTATGGGATGCTAGCACTGCTTTCCGAGACCCTCCAGGATGTTGGTTCAATGATTGAGTACCGCTTAGCTCTTCCATCACCTTCTAATCTGCGTAATCCTGGAGAGTTCATTCGTGAAGAGCTGTTTAAGTTAGTTGAAAATACACAATCCAGGGTTTTCATTGTTCTGCAATCATCATTAGAAATGGTGATCCATTTGTTCAGAGAAGCTTCACAAATGGGACTTGTGGATGCCGAATCAGCTTGGATAATCCCAGAGAGTATAACAAATTTACTGGACTCTGTGAACAAGTATGATATTTCCTACATGGAAGGTGCTTTAGGAATCAAGACCTACTACTCAGAAAGTAGCAGTGAGTATCAAGATTTTGAGGTTAAGTTCCGGAAATCTTTTCTGGCCAAGTATCCTGAGGAGGATAATCGCAACCCGGGATTTTATGCTCTCCAAGCATATGATAGCATTAAAATTGTTGCACAAGCAATAGATAGAATGGCCAGTGGCAATGGTAGTAGCAAAAACACTTTGCTAAGAGAAGTACTGTCAAGCAATTTCCTTGGCTTAAGTGGAGAAATTCAATTTGAAGCAGGACATCTCTTGAAGAATCCTACCTTAAGGATTGTGAATGTAGATAGGAAGAGTTACAGAGAATTAGACTTTTGGACTCTAGAACATGGGTTCAACAACAGCTTACCTACAAAACAAGGTTCAACTAGTGTTTCTAGGAACACGGAAAGATTAAGTGGATTAGTATTATGGCCAGGGAAAGTAATAGGATTTCCAAAGGGCTGGAATCTGCCTACTAAAAAAAATCCAATGAGAATAGCGGTTCCTCGAAGAACCTCCTTTTCCAAGTTTGTCAAGGTTGATCATGACGAGCTTACAAATTCATATAAATATAGTGGATTCTGCATTGAAATTTTTGAGAAGGTGTTAGGCCTTTTGGATTATGATTTACCATATGACTTTTATCCCATCAATGGAACCTATCCCGAACTGGTTCAACTTGTCTATAACAAGGTAAAGCCTTATTACTCAATCTACCGTGTCCCTTATTTCTTGTATATATTGTTAAATATGCTTTTAGTTTCCTCACATCACACTCCACAAATAGAAATGGTCAATATTCAGTGTTCTCCAACGTTTTATATCCTACCTTCATGAACTTTCAAAATGTTCCTGTTTGTGTAAATTTAATTCTGTATTTTCTTTGTGGGGACTAACAGCCTCTGAGAGAGTCTCTTCCTATTGTTAGGAAGGAAAATGTTGATTGATGACTATTGGAAATATTAAAAAAAAAAAA